GCGGTTCCCCCTGGAAACTATCATGGTTAATTCCTGATGAATTCATCATGATGGGCTAACTGGCCTGTTTTCATTCTCATCTATCACCCTTCACTAGTGCTCCGGCAGCGTATCTCATTAGCGCAGGCGTAGTTACCGTTACCATACCATTTTCACCCATAAAATAAAATATATACTTCACAATCTATGCTCATATTTACCAAATATACATAAAAAAATTCATATAAATTGGTCGAGCCGTATCGGAGGATTGCGACTACAAACACGACACGAGATTTTTTTTTAATATTAGATAAAACATAGTACATTTGTATTGGATTATTTAATAATGCTTCCACCACTGTGTCTTGGCATCGCCTCAAAAGCGATCGACAACACTATGAGAGACACTTGATCTTTCGATAACAAAACATTTTTCTTTATTGACACTGCGAATGTTAAATGAGCCAAGTTTTCTATTTTATATTAGTACAATTTATTTCGTTTACGTCGACTAAAGGATTTTTATTTATTTTATTTATTTATTCTTATTATATATATATATATATATATATATATATATATATATATATATATATATATATATATATATATATATATATATATATATATATATATATATATATATATATATATATATATATATATATATATATATCCACTTTAAATATTAGTCGTCAGTGATTTTATATTTTGTACAAAGAAAAAGCTGATTCCCTATTAAGTATCTCGGGGTAAGATCGGAGCGAGGATCTTCCCTCGGGATCGTCGCTACAGTAGCCTCGAAACGTCACTTGCCAAGGTCACCTGTAATTGTCTACGAGACATTGTAAAGGGATTTCTTTCGGCTTCCCTTTATTAGCATCCAGTAGTGGTTTAATATTTATATATTTACTAGTTGACTCGGCAAATTTCTTTCGTCCCTACCGCCATCTACCGTCAATATTTTACCTGGATAAAAGTTACTCTGTATTTATATTTATTTTGTCATATTTACTATACTAACTATTGTGGGGGAAAGGGAGAAATGGGGGGCATAAAAATCTGTAATTGTACAATATTTCTTTACCACAATTAATTTTTAATTTACAATAGTTCGATTTATCTATACAGCCTATTGAATTTATATAATTAAAAAAATAATATATTTATGATGTAATTATTTTTACCCTGAAATAATCTCCGGTACTACTGATCCGATTTTGAGAATTCTTTCATTGTCAGTAAAGTACATTATCTGTGAATACCATAAACATATATTTATTATTTTAAATATTATTTTATTAAAAAAAATCTTATTTTTAATGAGATGCACAGATTTACATATTATATATATTTATATAAATTATACATATAACTAACAAATTAACTTAAACAACAAAATAAATTCGTGCAGTGCCTGAACGGTTTCAAATAAAGAAATGTAATTTATAGCAAAAATATTCTTTACTTTTAGCTTTATGAATAAGTCTGCGACACTATATATCTAAGTTTAATATCTTAGCCAAAAAAGATGGTTTTTATGTTAAAAGTTAAATAAATTTTACAAGCCGTTCAATTTAAAATCTTAGAGAATATTATTTATTTATTTATTTATGCATTAGTATTACTTGAACATGCCCACAGGGCGGACTTAATGCCTGTTGACATTCTCTACCAGTCAACCGTTACGATAAACAGTGAGAGAAAGCGGCGGTGCATAGATTTAAAAAAAAATGTAAATTAAATAAATATTTGGAAAGATAACAATTTATGTATTATTATTATTATTATTTTATATATTTTTATCATTCTATACAGATATTTATGTATTTTGAATGTCTGTATATAAGTTAATATATATTAAGGTAAGCATAATTTCTTAGTGGAAGCATCCCAACCATATTTATTTATTTATTCATTAGTACAAATATGTGTACATGGCGGACATAATGCTTAAAGCATTCTCTCTCAGTCAATCATAGGGAAGTGTCAGAATACTCGAATGCGGTACTACTAATTATTGATATACATGCATACTAAAATTACATATATAAACGAATAAATATATATAAACAACAAATATACTTACACATATATGACATATACTATAATATACACGAAATTGATAATAATATAAAGTACTTATTAATGCAGTACTTTCACGCACGCCAAAATACCAGCATTACTAAAATGTGTTCTACAGTTCAAAAGTAAGACAAACAAATATTGCACCCGTGCGAAGCCGGGGCGGGTCGCTAGTATATCATATTTATAGACCTCTGAAGACATCAACCCTTGTGTAACTACAGGATTAATGATGTAATGCAACCTCCAAACCATTGAACTCGAGTATTGGAAGATATCCAAAAGAAATGGAGCACAAGGGCGCCCCCTGTCGTATCGCGGTATGATAAACCCGTGACCTTAGCGTTGGTAACATTGCCAGCGTTTATGTCCAAACTAATTCACTTATTGTTCCCAGTTTTATGACTAGTCTGAAACCTAGTTTTCCGCTTGATAAACATTATTCATGATAAGGAACCTGTCAGAATTATGAAGATAATTAGACAGTATGCTCTGTTATGTCCATGGTACTGCTCATGTCTATAGGCGACGGTTACCACTTTCCATCAGGTGGGCCGTCAGCTTGTTCGCCATTCTAAGTCGTATAAAAAAAAAGATAACCGATTAGTTCAGTATATTAACTCAGTAAAATTAATCGTATTTGGGAGATCAAGCTTACCATATGTATGTAGAAGTAATGAAGTACCTTAAATTCTTAGATTATATAGACAGAGCCTCGACTCTCAAAAACGGGTCAACTTTTGTCAGCTAACTGCCAAATTAACTGATTCGTTTTTTTATCAGTGTTTTCCTGAGTTAACAGTTATCTTTTACAACTTAAGTAAGCTTATGTTGGAGTTAAGATTTCTAGCTTATAATACTTATTATACGAATTAATATCAAAAAAACGTCACGACGAGCGTCATTTCGAAATCTAGTCTTTTTCAACTGTCACGTGATAGTATTTTATAACGACTGGTTCATAGTACGATGAACTATATACCAGAACTAGGAGATTGCTTTAATAAAACTCGAAAAAGTAACCAAGGAATAATTGACCTGGTGGTCTACCATGAAATGAAATTCCGAAATTTCGCGCTCAATTTCGTGTTTTTGTTCGTACCGAAATCGACTTAGTAAATGGAGCTTAACATTTCGTTTATCATAAATCCTATCCTAATCGTCCAGAGGAACGATATTTAAACATTTTTAATAATTTTAAACGGCATGTATTATGTAATTTTAACATTAAATTTCTGTTTCGTTTGTCCCCGAAATTTCCGAAGAGATCATAACACAGTTTGCTGATGTCCAACACATAATAAATCTATTAATTTTGAATGTTTCGATTTCTTATTAATTTCAATAAAGTATTTCTGTGACAATCAACAAAATTTGGTTATATTTTCGTTACTGAATAAGATTATGATAAACTAGTCAGTGATATTCGGTCGCCTCTACCTAGTTCCCTGCCGGTGAAACATGTGCCTTACATCTAGCTATAGAAAAATATATCGAACAAATGTTGATCAGCGTAATGGACTTATTTTATGAGTATTTTATTACTTTCGCCTAAAATGTGTAGAATTATTAGAATTTTTAATGGGGTTAGCAATGATGGCTATCTAATTGTGTATGTGTGTATGTATATGTATTTGTATATGTGTTAGTAACAAAATTTTTCATCGTGCCTCCCACCAAATTGTTTATAATTACTCCTCTCCATCCAAAGGTTGCCTGGAAGAGATCGCTCTTAGCGATAAGGTCGCCCATTGTTTTCTCACTGTGATCATTTCTTGTAATTGTTTGTATCTATAATAAGTTTACTATTGTAATCTTTTGGAGGAAACAATAAAGAGTATCTATCTAATTATATATATTTATTGGGTATACTGTCACGTTAGTTTGGTAATATTTTTGAAGTAATTACGTATCTTGAAGCAAGTTATGCTCACTTTAATGTCTAGATTGGTGGCGGCGTGGTGGGCTGGGTTTCTACTTTTCTCTACTTTTTACTTCTTTTTCTTTCTACTGGGCTTCCTATGATATGGTTGAACACAACGATGGCTGAATCATTCGTCATACTCGTGAACGATGGATTATAGCGTTGTAGCTTTTCCTTTCTTTTATGAATACGAAGTTTGTGATAGTCATCTTATCCGGTCATATGATTTTTTGTTGTATATTTAATTCTTATTTGAAAAAAAAGGTAATAGCTGTGTTTCTTGCCCGTTCTTCTCAGCTGAAATTGCATTTCGAACTGGGCGGTAAATTAATAAAAAAATTACTATTAAAAAATGCTCACACATTTAAAAAATGCCCATTTCTCAAGAGCCGAGGTTTTCCTTGGAGAATACAGTATGGGTTTCTTCAAAAAGGTATACTAAGGTTTCTTAAGGGTCGGCAACGCGCACGTGACGCCCCTAGTGTTGCAGGCGACCATAGTCTATAGGCTATAGCTGACGGTCCACCTGATGGAAAGTGGTAACCGTCGCCTATACACATAAGTAGTACCATGGACATAACAGAGTATACTGTTTCGCCCATGATACCCCCCATGCGTTGCCATTCCTGAGGACTCAGGTGTTATTCCTCTGTACCCTGTAAATTCACGCCATATCCCACCCTTCAAAACGAAACACAGCCATGCAAACACAAATGCTTCACGGTAGAAACACAAATGGGTACCCAAGCAATCGACTTTTGTACAAAGTCTCCCTCTGGTAAAGTCTCTGTATGCATGTTCTAGCATCACGCAAAAGCTACTGTACTAAATTGAAGGCAGCTACCACAGTTGTATTCTTGAAGATGTAACTTTAAAATTGATGTATGTTTTATTATAATACGTCATCTAATAGTCTATTTCATTGGTTTTCTTCTAAAATCTATGCGGTCGAAGAAATTAATTTCGTGACATGCAGACATCCGAACATTTAACTTTCTGTTTGTTTTAGCACCTGTACATCCAATCATCTTCATACTCATATAGAGAAGTAAAGTGAGCGTCAGCGGTACAGAAAATGTTTCTGAATGCGCCATCTACCGGCTGTGAAGCGAAACGCCCATTCTTATGTCATGGTGGAAGATGTTAGTGAGCAACATGGCAGAGAAGGTCAGCTGATTAGAGAGTCGCGCGCGCAGGCCTCAGAGCAAGCGGCGGATCAAGCACATCATGGTAAATAGTTTTTTTTTATGTAACTTATAATGGAAAACAAGCTGACGGCCCATATGATGGAGTGGTCCATCATCTATAGACATGGACGTAACGGAGTATATTGTGTCACCCACGATACGCTCATACGTTACCATTCCTAAGGATTAAAGTCTTAGTAACCTTGTAATTCCATTGCCATATTGCACCCTTCAAACCAAAACACAGCCATGCAAACACAACTGCTTCACGGCAAAAACGAATGGGAATGGCAAAGCGTGAGTCACAATATATTCTGTGATTTGCATGGTGCTGCTCATGTCTATACGCGATGGTGACACTTTATCAGGCGGGCCGTCAGCTCATTTGCTCTTCCATATAGCATGAAAACCTTCAAGTTCTTAAAGATTACTTTACTATATTTGACATCAGCAGGTGTTCGGTGAGTGGGCTCAGGTGGAAGTGGTCGAGTTGGTAAACGATGGGTCCGGACTCGCATTTGGGATCGTTGGTGGCCGTTCCTCAGGCGTCGTGGTCAAAAGCGTGCTACCTGGTGGCGTCGCAGACAGGGTAAGTGTAATATTTGCTGTAGCTACTTCTTGTACGATTCAAGATTCCTCTAGTGTCATGAATTTCTCAGCCACCTTTGTTTCAAAGACCTTAGCGTCGGAGAGCATAGTGCGTAAAAATTATATTATTTAACAAGAAAGAGAAGTAGATGGATCCAATTCCTAAAACACCCAATGTTCTTATGCTGTTAGCCAAATTAGCATTGTAACCCGGGGGTAGCCATCCCTTGTTGGTGAATTTGGGCAAAGAGGCTCGCCCCAAGGTCCCCACCTTAGCTTTCCTGGGAGGGCTAAGGAGTTCGTTGTAATAGTAGTTCGAAGACCTTTGACATGACATGGCATTACGTGAAGCATGCAGCAAGTGACGAACTTTTTTTAAAATGATCCAAATAGCGTTTACCTCAGCCGCAAACATAATTTTAAAAAGACCTTTTCAAGTATTTTTTAAGATCTCCATGCTCTTAGGAAATATTTAGGTTCTTTACCACAGCTTGTCGTTTGCTGAAAATCAATAACAACAACGTGCTTACAACGGAAATGAAGAAAAGACCAATTTTTATATAAAAGACATAACGTCGTAGTCTTCAGAAATGGTATCGCGAGAGGTGTTCCTTATATTGATAGCCGATTACAATATCTGTCTATCAGGTGGACCATTAGTAATACTGCTATTTCTCGTAGTTTTACCAGAACGAAATTTTGTATATACTTATCCACATTGGTATCTTTGTCTCATCTATTAATTATGCTGTCAAATGACTGTGTGTTTGATGAATCCTGGTTTGGGTGATGAGATATACTGGTAAGATTACTGGGTATCTACTGTGACCCAAGATTTTTATATCACAAGGATCAAATATCATTCCGGTACCGCAAACATTCGCGGGGTTGTTATACCGCGTACCATCAGACGGATCTTGCTGTGTAAAAAAAAAATAATCTATCCTCATAATAAAATGACGTGGGGTTTATTTCGAGTACGTGCCAATGTAGAATGTAAATTTTAATTTAATTATTCCGCACAACCGTGTCCAATTAACGAATGATCAACCGGCACTGTGCGCGTGACAGATATAAATAATCCTGCTCTATTTACAATTCGCAGAATGTAATCGATTGTGCGGAATTCTTTGCCTACTGCTGGGAATGATAGGCAAGATGATAACCCAATCGATGGAATGTGGTTATCGTTGAGTGGTATCTTCCTTATGGGTTGCCATTCTCAATTTGTCAAATTAATCGATAAATCATTTCTTCCCCGTTCGATTGTTCAAATGTTTGGGGTGCTGTGTGGTTCCGGTATAGAATAGGCCATCCCTTCTTTTCCTTTGGATCTTATAAAAGGCGACTAAGGAAGCTTAATTTAATGGTCGACGGATGGGCAGCAGCGTCTTTCTTGAAACATCACCAAAAATTAAACTGCGGTTGCCAACCCAGCTGCCAGGCGTGGTAACTACTGGCAAAATCTCCCAATGCTAAACTGTCATAAGGAACTGTTACGGGGTGGGTCAGAAGAGACTTTTTAAAAAGATTTTTTTTTAATTAACACGAGTCTTTATTATAAAAATTAGTAAAGCGTCTTGTTCGTCTGAGGTTCAAATCCGGTCTGAATTAAAATATATCGAAAAATCGCTGGAAATGCATGGTATGACGCATACATTATTGTTAACCGTTGACTGTTTCGAAAATGCAGTTAAGCATTTTTATATTCGTATGTTGTACATAACCACGGCTATATAACAGTACCATCATTGTCATATCAACGGTTAACTATCCACTGTTGAATAGAGGCCTCCTCCAAAAAGGGGGGTTTGCTAGTAGTTGCTACTTTTGGGAGGCGGATTGGCAACCGCAGTTAGGCTTCGACGATGTTTTAAGAGGGACACTGCTGCCCATCCGTCAACCATTAAATTAAGCTCCTCTAGTCGCTTTTTATGAGACCGAAGGGAAAGAATGGGCTGGTTCTCACAACTGGTAATATATAAGGGGTACCGTGACCGACATAGATAGATAGATAGATAAACACTTTATTTGTATCATTCTACACACGTAGATTAACAACTGAATTTATACAAAAAATCTACATAATTATAAAAAATAAAACAAAAGATAAAATACAAAAAAATATTTTCGCCACGTGTGTCGCAGTGACCCAAATAGGCTACAGCTCAGTGATAGTTTTGCTTAAAAGCAAAGCACTGATTTTCAAGCTGCAACCTGAAGTTAGGCTACATGGACGCGTGCAACGAACCCAGAGTGTAACCCTGTATGATCAAATTAATATACAAATATAAAATTGTATAAATCAGAGGTAGCCGACTTAACTAGACCCAAGATCTACTGTTTACTGATGAAACCCTGTACGAAATACCAATTATATACTTCTTGAAATCACAAATGAAACAACATAGTTCAGTACACAATTATGTAGTATTGTAGTATTGTTTATTTTATTATGAGGGAAAACATAAAACTGAAAGTTATTCTTAGTAACTACTTATTTATATTAGTGTGAGCATTGCGTCTAAGAATCTTCCGCTAGATTAGCAAAGTATTATATTTTTCCCATGTCACGATCGACTGGATTAATGGTCGCGATCGACCTAGTGTCCTGTGTGTGTAACCTATGACTTTATATCAGATGGTATCGGCTTGTTTGTCATTCCATATTGAATAAAAACAATATCTACTTTTATTCTTACTTAACTTTTGTCCAGAATAAAGATGGTTTTTTATTCGACTTCAGAGAGAAGGAGAACCACCAGAGGGAGACTTTGTACAAAAGTCGATTGCTTGGCTACCTCTGTCCCATTCGTGTTTCAACCGTGAAGCAGTTGTGTTTGCATAGCTGTATTTCGGTTTGAAGGGTGGGATATGGCGTGAATTTACTGGGTACAGAGGAATAACACCTGAGTTACCGTTACCGGCGACGGTTACCACTTTCCATCAGGTGGGCCGTCAGCTCGTTTGCCATTCTAAGTTGTATAAAAAAAAGAAGGATTGTATTTTTTTGTGTACTAATTCGTTAATTCTGACAATTCTTTTTGCAATAATTTGTTGTTAAATGTTTATTCAAATAGGCTTTTTGGAATAATAACTATTTAAATTGTCTATTTCTTTTTTCTCTAGGTTCAGATCTTTTCCTCATAGAAAAGTCTGCGAGAAACTCGTCATTAATTGTCGAGTTACAGACAGAACATTAAAGACGAAAGTGACGTTATCCTGAGAATAAAGCACTGTAAAATGAGCACTTCAAACGAATTTCTAAACTTTGTAAAATTATTTGAAAAGAGTAATTACGTTACTTTTCTATATTACTTTCGTGTTTAATGCAGTTTAAACTCGTAAACTTTTGTGATTATTGTTACGCTTGAAAATTCAAAACATGGCTGTTTTTAGCCATTATATCTACTATCAGATTTAAGCTCACTGCTAGATTTATTGCATTGGAGTTGAGATAGATAAGATGATAGAATTTCAGATTGGATAACGATCGGAAACTACGGTAGTTATTGAATTACTTGAATCAGATATGTGACGCTTGCTTTCATCTAATTTACATTTAACATAACTTGGGGCTTACTAGTGGAGTTTTAGATCCACTTCCGAATTAATATTAGAGGTTCGAAATTTTATATCAATTTTTGGTCTTTTAACATGGTGATAATCCAGTTAAATTATTATAGTTTACTCAAATGACCGCGTTAATTCCTTTATGTTGTAAATCACAAACTACGCAATGCAAGTTTTAAAGTTACGTTTAGATTCTGATGAAATTGTTAAAATGGTATTAGTGACTTAGATTTCTCCTCGTAGATTGCCGGGATTGGTCTGGTCATATATATTTCTTTACTAGCAATTTTCCTATTTCCAATCGCTGTGTCTGTCCCGGCATAGACTAGGTCACCCTTTCCTTTCCCGTTGTGTCGTAGGAGGCGACTAAGGGAGGCCGAGGCATGGGAAGCAGCGTCCCTCTTAAAACATCGCTAAAAGCCAAACTGCGGTTACCAACTCGCCTGCCAAGCGTGGCAACTACTGGCGAAACTCCCCTTATGGGGAAGGCTTATATCCAGCAGTAGATAGTTATTGGATGAAATAATAATAAAAAATCCTCCCATACTTGGCACAGGTAGATTGATAAATTTAAAAAGGCAAATTTTAATACATGATCATACATTAATGTAATTTTCGTAGGGATCTTGATTTTTTTGAAAGTAATATATATTTTATGTTACTGGCTGATATTATTAGTATTGAATTTTTGAAATGGTTTATAAATACTTTTGGGTATATCAGTTATAAACAAAAAATGAAATCTTACCACTTTATAATATTTGTATTGAGTAGTATACGAAACAGGTTACGATAATTATTAACGATGGTATTTATATTTGGGGAAGGAGTGATCTCGCTTTCTTTGTACATTAGGGTACTCTTGGTCTTTGGCACGCCTTATGAGAGTAGCATTTTTACCTAAGCCAAACTTGATTTAGGAACAAGGAAACAGTTGAATCTTGTAGTGAAGGATGTATGAAATAGGAACAGATGGCGCTACATGATCAGGAAAAATGATCCCGAGTAACGTGAAAAGCGAGGTAGAAGAAGTCTATGTTAGATATTCGAATTTGGAGCGTCGTCCGATTGTCTTGTTACTTTTAAGATTAGCATTACCCTATTATGTTCGTGTCGTCGTAAGCTCGGATGATTTTTTTTTATTTATATTCAAATTTTGTTAATTTAATCTTCACAAAGAAATTTTAAGCAGAAACTCCACGGTGACTTTTATATGAAAGGGTAATTCTGATATCAAAATGGTAATGAATAATTTACATAATACTCTGCCGAGCGGCAACCCTACTCTCGGGACTGGGGGAGTGAGGGATGCAACGACACTATATCGTTCTCTATCATCATTTAATTTGAATTCGTCTACTTTTTTTTATTTGCTTTGTACTTTATCTTCTTGCGAAAAACCCTAGTTTTTCTGTATCTTACTAATTC